TTAATTAGCATTCTCTCTGTAACTTCATAAAAATGTTACTGAACTTCTTTGTGTAGAACTTCTATGTAATTGATATGAATACTTCGGGGAGAGGTTACATATTAATTCACATGGTGACATATTTTTATGATGATTGCTTTTAGGAAAATGTTTTAAATCTTAAATGTTATGCATTTACATAATCAGGAACCTTACTTACTAATCTGTATCTTATTGTGAACAGCTCTTGCCCAAAGTCACAGTTTTAGCCTGGACACGATGATCCTCCTTTGTCTAAACCAAGGACCCAACTTGAATTTGGGGTAAAAGGCTTAGTCATGGCAGGTTAGAGGAATAAATATTTGGGACACACATTTGCTGCCAAGTAAGATTGCTCCTCAGACAAACAATGAATATTTGTAGCAGAATCTAGAGTCAGGCACTCGGGGTTTGAATCTCAAATAACTTAATTCTTTGATCTTTTGTTCAGGAGTTCCTGTGAAGAGTAATCATGCTCAACACCTATTAATTATTGTCAATATATTGTCATAGATGATTTAATATTATTGATAACTTAATATCATGGATAAAGATAATTTAGTATTACCATTCCCACTACATCTCCTCACTCTTAGTCTACTTCACCCCACACACACACACAATTTCCTGTTAACTATTAAGAGAAGTGATTAATTCATACCCATTTAACAAATGTAAATATTAATGGCACTTACTTAAGGTTAACATTTATAGATCATGGTTCAGAGACATTATCTCACTTTGAACTTTCCCACAGCTCCAGGAGAAAAATAGGGTTATTATTACTCTTGTTTGAGAAAAAAAGAAAATTAAGGTTCATGGAAGTTTAGTGACATGATCAGACTCTCACAGCTAATAATTAAGAGCAGAGATTAGCACTCGGAACTTTGCAAGGATAATATTAAACCATGATGCATTCCTCACTGCTATGTATAGAGACTCAAGTAGTAAAGAAACTAAGGCCCGAAAAATGTTTTTCTCATAAGTTTCCGTAATACTCTCAAAACTTAGTCATATACTAACATTGTAAAATACCAAATGGGTTGTTAAAACACTTGCCATATTCAGATATTGAATCCTGAAGGTCATCTTCATTGTTTAGTCTGTTGTGATTATGTTATTTCATCACTGATGTCACAATTTTTGCTTTAATAAAACCCTGCGATGCCACACCAGGGCAAAAACTTTTCCAGATATGTAAACAGCAGAGGTGGGAAGAGGGGGATGAAAAGACGCTGTTTTCTTTAATAGAAGAGCTGCGGGGCCTTCCATAGCTTGTTCATTACGTGCGGAGACAGGAACGCCATCCCTCAAACATTTGTGCTTGCCTCTGAGTGAAATGTTTTCCATTTTTACGTATGGCCTTAGTATAAACGAGCAAATATTAGAACTCTAAGAATTTAGAGGAGATCAATAGCAACAAAGTATATTATTATATAAATTTGCTATGTTCTACCTGGGTAAGAACTCCAGGTCCCCGAGATGGAATGTGGCTTAGCTAGCAACCTTTGGGTATAGTTCACCATTATACAAATGCCTAACAATTTCACATGGATAAAGTATAATTCTCAAGTGGAGAAGGGAAACAGAGAAAGAGTATCTAACTCAAAGGCAAGGATGTTCATTTTAGTGGCAGACTTTTCGCTCAGTAGCCTTGAAACGGAGAGTGATCACTTCAGCCTCTTTTGTGGCCTCAGCTTCTGTCTTCAGATCAAGGGGGTGATAGGATGTGTTTATATATTTTAGAATTGTTAATATAAGATGAGAGAACATACGTTTGAGCGTCCCAAGACTGGGTTTTCTTTTAGCTTTTTGGATTCTTTGTTTTGGGGTTTTTTGTTTTTTAGCTGAAATGTAATGCAAGTTCATTGTAAACAAGAAGAGGGGAAAAGGAGGAAGGAGGAAAACAAACTAGCAAATAAATGGAATCATACATCTCTATATTACTGTGATGTTTTAGAATAATAATAGGTATTATTCTTAGCACAAGCAATGGCAAAGGCCAGATGACTGTGGACAAATCACTTACTCTTACCCTTTCTTAATCCACAAAGTGAGAGATCAAACTAGTTTATTTTTTGACAAAATGTCATATTCATACATTGTTCTCTGGAGGCAGTCACCAGAAGGCTTTTAAAATGAAAATAAATATAGTCCTACATTTTATTAAAATGAATGTGAAGAATGAAGTGTCAAACCAGACATTCAGACAGTAAATGTTTGATGTTTTTCAATCAAAATTTATTAAAGTGAACAATTTGTGAAACATAAATATAACTCAATTCAAAAAATGTCAGTGAATTTAACAAATAGACAAAAGCAAGCTTATAAGCAAGTCAGGATTCTGTCTTACAGTTACCTTAGCTAATAAGGAATCATTGGAATCAATGATTGGATTAGTGAAATTGCTTTGTTCAGATAAATTTCATGAATAAACAGCTGTGTGAATCATGACCCAAAAAAAGTGCTGTTAAAGAAAAACGTTATTGAAAAAATTCCCCTGGGTAAGTAAATAGAGATTGTATTAATAATACTAATTGTTAATCCTGTTTTGATTCGATAAACTTTTGAGCACCAGTTACATTTGAGGCAGGAAGCTGGATGGTAGAGCTAGGAAAACTCAGAAGCCAAAATTCACTGCTTTTCCAGTGAAAGAGGAAAAAATCCTAGATAGGCGTATCAATCAGTGTCCCAGGGGTCAAGGTATGAACAGGGAATCTATAGAAGTGGAAAACTAAGGGCTACGAACTACAGTGGTCCTCCCTTATCTGCTGGGGGATACGTTTCAAGATCTCCAGTGGATGCCTATTGTGTTACGCGTTAACAAAACCAAACTCTTCATAACACCCAGTGAGGAATAGGATATTGAAGAAAGTGTTTCCTCCTAAATGCAATACACAAGAGACACTAGGAATGTTTATGTGATGGGTGAGGACCAAGCCCAGAGAAATAGGTTGTGGTATACGAGGTGGGGTTGAGACATAAGAAACCAAATTTTAAAAGAGATAACACAGGAGAGGTTTTAGAAGTGTTTCCTAACATGGCTTACAGCTCTGAATCTGGAGGTCTGGGGTGAGCCTGGAAATCTGCATTTTGTTTAATTATAAAAGGATATATTCATAATGGATGCATTGGGCGGTATTCTGAAGCATCTGATGTCAAAAGTAAATGACACTTTGTAAGACCCTTTTTCTCTGCGCAGTAACTGACACCTCATATATATTTTTGGAAGGCAAAATGGTAAGTTGCACTGCATTAACATCATTTCTTGAGTAAACTCCTCAGGGTTTCCTCAAGACCTACAGATTCGTATCATATATGTAATCACCTTTCTGCTTAAATAGAACTCTATTCTGTAATATTATGAGTCTTGCTTTGATCATATCATCTTCTAACTGTAATTTTCCACAACAATGCCAGAACACATGTATCTGCTCCTTTGTTTTAACAGCTGCATACTATCCCATAGTAAGAGTATTCCAGAATATATTTAACCAATCCTCTGTCGGTGAGTCATTTTAATATTTCTAGGGTTTTTTTTTTTTTTGCTATAGCATTTCGGAATGAACATCCCTGAGTAGACCTCTGAGCACATTTGTAACTATAGCTGAAATAGAACTTCCTATATGCAGTCTGTCACTACACTTGGGTGATACTGTCTGAAAAATGATAATTATGTTTTTATTGAAACTCAGCAGAGTTTGGCAGCAGAAAGGACACTCAGGTTTCATAATTGCTTCTTTGGCAACCCATGGCTGCCACCAGAGCACATAGATCTCCCATGCAGGGATCTTGTCTTAATCATCACTGAATACCCAGCCTACAGCAAATGCCTAATACAGAGAAGTTGCTCAGTAGGTATGTGAGGACAAAGTGAATGAGTAAATTCTCAAGCAAACTGAGGTTTGTTCATAGTCTTACCTCTGTGATTGACTCGATATGTGACCTTATATAAATTACTGACTCTTTCTGGGCTTCAGTTCCTTCTTCTGACAAACAAATATAAATCCTAGCTTGACTGCACCAAAGATTTGGCAGGAAGAACAGTAGAATAATAAATTTGGTAGTGACTTGAAAAGTAAAACATTCAGAAAATTCACATAATCATTGTCAATATGCATTTAGTAAATAGCTTCTTTTGCAGGGCATAGAATATTGGAAATGCTAGCTATGTGATGCTAACTCTTAAGTGTAAAATGGAGATCAGAGAAAAAAAATAGTCTTTGGGGGGAAGGGTATTGGCTAATGAATTATTATTATCTTTGTTAGTATCGATATCAGTATCATTATGAAAAAGGCTTAAAGCTTCCAGTTGGAAAGGTGATATTGACTATAAAAGTCACATACTCAATATTTTAAGTTTTATGCTTTCTTCCTCCCATCAGCTTATTAACTTTTATATACATACCAGAAACCTCTTGATGCTTTGGAAAGTCTTAGGTGTGACTTTAGTTCATTCAGTTCGATTCATCAATAGTATACTCAGGGGCACCTGGGTAGCTCAGTTAAGCACCCGACTCTTGATTTCGGCTCAGGTCACAAGCTCAGGGTCATGAGATCGAGCTCCACATCAGGCTTTGCGCTCAACCCAGGGCCTGCTTGAGATTCTCTCTCTTCTCTTTCTCTGGCCTTCCCACTCATGCTCTCTCTAAATAAATAAATAAAATCTTTAAAAAACTTTAAAAACTAGTATACTCAGTTAAACTGACTAATGATAGATAGACAGATATTCATATCTAGATATGGACATATTCAAAATATTATCAGACTTCAAATACACTGCCAGCCTGAAAGGATTTTTTGAACCCTCCAGTTAATGTCTTTACCTTTTATGTGGGGAATTGGGGCAGATAGGCACAATAAACATAGAGGGGAAGGAATGAAGATTTTGGAGAAAAAAACTGTGGTTCAAAAGGAAGAAAGCTGGTATATCTTAACGCAATGTTTGTACTTGTTAATTTTATTCTGTTTCCCTGCAGGTTTAAATGTGTATTTGGCTACTTGGCTACTGATTAGAGAACACAAAATGAATAACTCAACAAACTCCTCTAACAATGGCCTGGCTCTGACCAGTCCTTATAAGACATTTGAAGTGGTGTTTATTGTCCTTGTGGCTGGATCCCTCAGTTTGGTGACCATCATTGGGAACATTCTGGTCATGGTCTCCATTAAAGTCAACCGCCACCTCCAGACCGTCAACAATTACTTTTTGTTCAGCTTGGCCTGTGCTGACCTCATCATTGGTGTTTTCTCCATGAACTTGTACACCCTCTACACTGTGATTGGCTACTGGCCTTTGGGACCTGTGGTATGTGACCTTTGGCTAGCCCTGGACTATGTGGTCAGCAATGCATCAGTGATGAATCTGCTCATTATCAGCTTTGACAGGTACTTCTGTGTCACAAAACCGCTCACCTACCCAGTCAAGCGGACCACGAAAATGGCAGGTATGATGATTGCGGCTGCCTGGGTCCTCTCCTTTATCCTCTGGGCCCCGGCCATTCTCTTCTGGCAGTTCATCGTAGGGGTGAGGACTGTGGAGGATGGGGAATGCTACATTCAGTTTTTCTCCAACGCTGCTGTCACCTTTGGTACTGCCATCGCAGCCTTCTATCTGCCTGTGATCATCATGACCGTGTTATACTGGCACATATCCCGAGCCAGCAAGAGCAGGATAAAGAAGGACAAGAAGGAGCCTGTGGCCAACCAAGACCCAGTTTCTCCCAGTCTGGTACAAGGCAGGATAGTGAAGCCAGACAACAACAACATGGCCGGCAGTGACGATGGCCTGGAGCACAACAAAATCCAGAATGGCAAAGCCCCCAGGGATGCGGTGACCGAAAACTGTGTCCAGGGAGAGGAGAAAGAGAGCTCCAATGATTCCACCTCAGTCAGTGCTGTCGCCTCCAACATGAGAGATGATGAAGTCACCCAAGATGAGAACACAGTGTCCACTTCCCTGGGCCATTCCAAAGATGAGAACTCTAAGCAAACGTGCATCAGAATTGTCACCAAGACCCAAAAAGGTGACTCGTGTACCCCAACTAATACCACCGTGGAGGTCGTTGGTTCTGCAGGTCAGAACGGAGATGAGAAACAGAATATTGTAGCTCGCAAGATCGTGAAGATGACTAAGCAGCCTGCCAAAAAGAAGCCTCCTCCCTCCCGGGAGAAGAAAGTGACCAGGACGATCTTGGCTATTCTGTTGGCTTTCATCATCACTTGGGCCCCATACAATGTCATGGTGCTCATTAACACCTTCTGTGCACCCTGCATCCCCAACACAGTGTGGACAATTGGTTATTGGCTCTGTTACATCAACAGCACGATCAACCCCGCGTGCTATGCACTTTGTAACGCCACCTTCAAGAAGACCTTTAAACATCTTCTTATGTGCCATTATAAGAACATAGGCGCTACAAGGTAAAACATCTTTGTAGAGAAGGCAGGTGGTGAGGGGAGCTTGGGAAAAAGAGAAGGGATAAAAGAGCTCCCCGTTTTAAAAAATCTCTGCCATTGCACTTTATAGTCTTATTATGGAATGTGCAATTAAGGAGCCTAACAGTGACACTTTTGTCGTGCCGATGCTCTGGTTTGAGAAACCTGCACCTTATAAACCCTGTCAGTTTAGGAGCAATGAGACCATGAAAGAGACATGTTGGAGTTGTGGATTGAAGGGACAATCTACGCTTTCTCGTACTCTCTTGAAGAAGGGCTTCTGAATCTACAATTTTATCTCTGCACAAGAAGAATAACCTCGCTCCTTTTTTTTTTTTTTCCTTTTTTTTTGTTGTTGTTGTTCCTGTGTGTCCATACGAGGATGAAATGCCACAGTTACAAGCTAACATGGAGACTTAAACATAAGGAAATAGACATCACACAATGGAGAAGTGAAGAAAAAGAATCAAAACAGGATGTAGAAATGGTCTCCAGAGTGTTAAGCATATATTATTCTTTTGTTACAGCTTTATTTGGAGAATTGCAACATAATAAATGCTCTTTCCCCCTTACCTTTTTCCCTTTTCCCATCATCAAAAGAAAGCAAACAAACAAAAACCCTAACTAGATCAGATCATTATTTTTCTCATTATACCATCGGCTTTTGTACTTCCCTGTTGTACATTGTGTAAGGGCAAAAATCTGCAGGACTTCCAGTAAATACAACCAGACACAGCCTTGAAAGTGGGCCTTTCACCCCTGCCCACTGTGTCGTTTGCATTCTTTGGGGGGTATAAAAGCCTATAAACATTTAGTTGGCTTATGATCCTTTGGGTGAAATGTTTTCACCAGCCTGGTTTTCTCCTCAACGAGCTTCTTATGTGAACGGAGTAGCCTACCTAATACATAAACATGCTTGAGAAACCAAAGTCATTTTTTAAACTGAGGTTTGGTCAAATTAAAGAGTAGTCATTTTTAGTTGGAGAAAGTTTACCGAGGCCAGACGAATTTTGCAAAAGGCAAATAGAAGGCTGAGAGAATTCTGTTTCAACGGGAATTTGCCTGACCCGTGTATGAAATGCAAACTTGAAAAACGTGACCTTCTGGCCTTTGTCAGCAGGACGAAGCTGCTTTACTCATTTGGAATCCTAAGTAGGATTAACGTACTCTCATGGCACCAGTGACTTCTGCGTCGGTCCCAAGGGAATAAGACCTTCTCTTGGATGCCTGCTCGCGAATGATACTCAAGTCGGAGTCCAGTGAGGTTGTTTATAGCCATCCTATGTCCCAGTGGAGAAGGAAAAAGTTCATTAAAGAACATTTCCTGAAACCACCCGTTCCATCTTCCTCAAATGGTCAATTCTCCCTAACATTTCTTAACTTCGAAATTCCGTCCATAGAAATACAGGAATCTCGTGGCAGACACGGAGTGGATAACTAATGGAGGCCAAGTGAGGTCAGCAAAAGCTGACGAAAATTGTGGGTAGGGGCCCCTGTGTCACTTCTCATGAGCTCTTGGATTCTAGACCATCAAAAGTCAGGTCAGGAACTGTTACCCCAACGGTGGCTTTATATAGACTCTCGTCCATGGAGAGACTTTTTATTTGGTGCCCCTGATAAATACATCATTGTATTGATTCACACTTAGCTATTTCTGTCCCTCAACTTTTTTTCTTACTATATGTGCTGTAGTCTTAAAATCAGATTTTCTGAAGATGGCCCAATCAATAGAAATCAAACGTATAAAACTCACTTCAAATTTCCTATTTTGCATTTTAGATTTATGGGCCTTATGATCTCTTGACCAGTAATATCAATGTAAGTAGCATGATTAATGTTTCAGTATTAAGCCTTAGCACTTTAGAGCTGTTTTGTGTGACTTGCCTCATCAATGGCCTCTCAACAATTTTGAAAGTTAAAAAAAAAGCACAAGGTAAACAACAACAAAAAAGAACAGTTAGTAAGACGCAAATTGCCAACAATAGTTGTATGTAACTTACCCTTTATAAAAATAACTTCCTGTTTGAATAACTGCAGTCATTTCTCCTGAATCTCCTAGGTATAAACATACAGCATCAGTTTATACAGATTCCTTTACTCTGCAGTTACTTCAATGTAAATGTTTACAATTTTAAATCCACATTTACTTTGATTTTATTTCTTCAAATCAGTGAATCAGTTGAATGGAAGGGACATCAAGCCAATGCGCTGTTCGGTTTGCTATAAATGAAACAGTCGACTGGCTGAATATTTCACTTATTAACTTGTTGTACTATTACGATGTAGATTCAGCTTTAGTTGGGATGAACTCTTTGGATTCAAGGATTCAGGAGTCTGGATTTGCGTCTTTTCTGGTCCACTCTAACAATTCAACTCACCATGAATCAAACAGCCTCTTGCTCTTCATTGCCATTACATCCTCCCTTCCTTCCTTCTGTTCTTGATCTTCGCCGTAGCCACCTCAACCTTGTTGAAAGAGAAACCGTCATGCATTACGGCAAGGACGTGAATATAGACTGACACATCGTGGAAGCTTTGTCAACTGGAATCAGAGAAATGGGAAGAATACTGAACGTAGTAGATGATGAGAAAGACACAGATTGTATTCAAAGGTTTGCATTAACTGTTGCTGGGTTTGTCTATTTCAGTGGCTCTCATACAGGAACTATTTTGCTCCCCCGGGGACATTTAACAATGTGTGGAGACATTTTTGGTGGTCACAACTTGGGGGAGAGATACTGGAATCTGGTAGATAGAGGCCAGGGAGGCTGCTAAACTGCTTACGGTGCACAAGATAGCCTCCCCCTCACACACACAACTAAGAATTACTTGGCTCAAAGTGTCAATAGTGCCAAAGTCGAGAGACCCTGGTCTATTTTAAGGAATTCTAAAGCTTACTTTGTATACGTGGGAAAATAATCCTGTATCACTATTAGAATATCAATGCAAATTGCTCACCTGTTTCAGAAAGGTAATGCTCACCAATTGTGTATCAGACACACTGTCATCCATGAGTCTAGTGTATTTGTAAATCACAGATTGGGAACACGGGGGACATCGACATATCCAGAATTAACAGACCATGCACATAGCACATTGTCTCCAACATCTTCATGTCCCATTATGATTGCCACAGAGTCCAGTCAATTGAGGTTGCTGGTAATTGGCCATTAAAATGATTGCAGTTGATATGGTCAGTTTCTATCGGAGCTGCCACTTTTCCTTTCAAAAACATTGAGAGCATCTTTCAGAAACAGTCTGATTCATCTCCTTTATTTTCACTGGAAAGGCGAATATCTGTCAAGAATTTCTTCTCTCCTCATAGCAATAATGTAAATACTCCAGGGTGGTCTTATAAGAAGAGGAGATTAAGAATGTCAAAAAGCCAGTTCATTTCTTAAAAAAAAAAAGAGAAAAGAAATGATTCCTCTTTTACCAGTTCGCATTAATTTAACATCAGCTCCAAGTGTTAGGACAAAGTCACAAATATAGGAAGTCACATGGGATAAGCTTTCCCATTTGAATGTGGAAACTGGAGGTCCCACATACTTCTGCTCCTTATCTATTCCACTGCTTTTTTGATCCTGGAGATCTGATATTGGGGAAGACTGAAATTCAAAATGATGGCAACATATACTTAGAAATGCAATCTACTTTTATTTTCTCCTACTTAGTTCACTGGTGGTTGCCTTTCCCCAGTTTGATGATATACCTTTCAACAACCACAGCACTGGTGTTACAAATAGATTAGGGAAGCACCCAAAGCTGGATGAATTGTGCAAAGTGTATTTTCAGCATGTATATACGATACCATGCCTCTTAAATATGCTTCTTTTAAAAGGGTGCACGCTGCAGCATGAACTGTGTGCATATTTAATGTATCTTTCTGGAATATGCTGTATGCTTAATATACATATTCTATAAATAAAGTAATGAACTGTATCATAGAAATACATATTTCTGTATGCAAATAAATATGTTATACACAAAATCTTGATATGCAATATGGTATATGTTGCTTCAGAGAGTAACAAGACTAGATTTTATATGCCCTTTTTTTTTAAAGTAGTACTTGCTTTTGAAGGAAGAGGTTTAAGAACGGCCAAAATCCTACCCATATTACTATGAAACTGTTTTATAATCTTTGAAAGCATGGCACTGATTTTAAGTATCTCTTGGAGGACTATATTAATAAATCTTTGCTGGTGTCAGCCCACGTGACAAGAATGCTCTTTGCTCCCGTGCTCCTGACTGGCCTGTGACTAGAATCTTCCTGGCTGTTACTGTTCCAACAGCTGTGTTGATCTCACGTCTGATTGCCTGATGAGATTGCAACCAATTCATTGACATACAGCTTTGCTCTCCTCCAAATTAACTGATTTTTGTCAAATAAAAAATAATCATACAAGGAGAAAAGGATGACCTTCAGAATGTTTTTCATTCTGAGAAGCAAGGTTAAAAAAAAAAAAAAGTACAAGCACTGTATTTTATAAACCATTCTTTTTAGTTTGAGTCCAATACAGCATCCCATACATTAAATGCCAGCAATTTCTAGTGTAGTATATTGCAGGTTTCTCCAAGAAATAGTGAAATAGGTGGTTTGTTTCCGAATGCCCTCCATTTTTTCCATAGCACTTCTCTTTCTCTGCTTGTTGCCCACTCAACTACCCACATTCCCCGGGACATTTTCTTTGGCTCATTAGCATGAGTTCCTAGTTAACAAATATTGTTATGATTTTAGTTGATATGGGGCATGCCATCCCAAGAGACACTTGCATTTTAATAAAAAAGCAGAAACACTAAAGAGCTCCAAGATCCCTATTAGTCTTTAGTTACCAAGGTAGTCAGTGGGGAAAATAATTTTCAGTGAATTCTAGTTTTCTATGCAAATTTTTTTTTTTAAAGATTTTATTTATTTATTTGACAGAGAGAGTCACAGTGAGAGAGGGAACACAAGCAGGGGG